TGGATTTCTGAGTCTAGGCCAGAACTGTTAGTGCAAGTTTTTTGGACTCGAAACGCATGTTCTTTATTACATCCCTGAGTGATTCTGGAGGAACTAATGAAGCCGGGTGTAGGTTTCAGTTGGAGTGTGTTGGTTTCCTATATGCGGAAACCTCAAATTCAGATGATGTCGTCCGCTTCACCAAGACATCTAGAAAGGATATAGAGTGGCTAGCTTCCACTAGAGTAAATACATGCCATATTAATTTGGTGCCCTGCACCATGAATCATTCAAACAATATCTATCTGAAACATTATTTGCCTTACATTCTGCTGCGTTAATTATTTGCTAGTCATCGATTTAATATCCAGTACTCAGGCTTTAATTTTGTCACGAAGAAAGTACGATATTGTAAAATCGTTGCAGATTATCTAGAATGTCAGAATTTTCAATAACTGTTAAAGTGAAGTTTTATGCTTTTTGGTCGCGTCATGAAGAAAAATAGTAAATGTGTGGCAGATATTTATTACAAGGCACTTGTTGTGTAAAAAGTGAGGGGACAGACGACACTGGATATACGAAGTTAGTAATAAACTTAAATATGCATACTATATATGCGACAGCGATAATACTTGTCAGAGGAAAGTGGCAGGTGTACGGTCTAATTTCTCATTACGGAGTGCCACTTGTTAGTTTGGAGTGATTATATTGTGATTAATATTCGTCCATTTTCCGACCGCGTTGCAAGTTGATGTAAATATTCACGTGCTGAACTTGAATTAGTGGAGTAGTCGAATGACTGCTTCAAAACTATATTTCTGTTAGTCTTCCCATATGCAGTTATAATCGTTTTGGTTTTCATTGCCCTATGGTATCTGATTCCGGAAATTTGTTTTTACATTGTTTAGAAATTCGCATGGCTTTGTATTTAAAAGTGTCCCGATATGAAGCTTGCGTCGTATGGCTGATAGTTTTTTTTATGAAATTAAAATTTATTTTACGTTTTCACCTTCTGCTTATGTTTAGTCATCATCTATCCGTAAGTTAAGGTGAATTGCAGCCGTAAGGTACACACATCAGAAAACGCTGTCTTGCTTCGTTTGACATAGCCACACCAAAACGCAATGCTATCCCTATTATTCGCAGGTTAGTAACCTGAGGCCCGTTTTTAGGTTGGTTGCACCGAAACTCAGTGTAGTGAATTTTCTCCTCAGGGGAATTACCAGTTTACAAAAGAAAATTTTATGCCGCACTTGGGGTTTATGCAAAGCAAACTACTAACCCATTGCGCTACTGTCTACGGTTCCTTCCTTATGTTTTTAGTTATGCTATATGAAACATTTTTTTAGCGAACGACCGGTTGCTCCGTGAGACCAATGGAATAAACGAGTTTATAAATGAATCTCTGTGCATATTGGACGGCCGAATGAAGATTTTGAACGAGTCCTCTGAGGCACAAAATGAACGTTGTGCAAGGTAATGTATTCTTTTGACCGTTTTATTTTTCACTGATGTACGAAAGGTTCATCGCCTGAGAAATCTTTTTCCACTTGACTCCGTTTTGGTGACTTTTGTTATGTTTTTTCAGTTGGCTTATTTTGTTATTGGACAGAGATGAAGAAATTCCGTTTCAGATAACGAAAATTCTTTTTATAATGAATATATTTTCTCAGACATTCAAATGTTCTTTTGCTTAAGTACCATTTGACAAGTAAATTGTTAATCTCCTTTCGTACCGAATGACCGTTTTATAATGTGAGCAATACTTCGCCATGTTGCTTTGATGGTTCTTATCAATTAACAGTGTATCAGGGTGTAATAATTTAAGTGATAAAAGCATTTAGCTGCTTTTCAACAAATTACACAAAAAATATTGTATGACTATACGAAGTGAGGTAATAATCAATCGTATTTGCCTTATTTTCATTATGTGAACCAGTACTCCAAAATTGCACCGGCCGATTGATATCATATACCAGGGCAAAGAATGATTGAGCCATTTACTATATCATGATAGCTTCGGCCCTGTGGACAGAAAATTACGGTTATTAAATTTGGATTTAAGCTACGTGTGTAGAGATGATAGTGACAATCGCTAGATAATATACAAATTTTCAAACATTATTACGTCAGATTTGCTAAGTTTTGACCCTAAAAGTCATGAAATGTATTTTTCGGTTCCCTGGTATTTACCCATCCAGGGCCCTTCGTTGTTTGACGGTAAAGTCTTATAAACATTTTCAATCACTTTCTTCTAGGATTAAGAAAAATGGTGTTACCCATCTGCCGAATCGAATTTATTGTCAGAGTGTCATCTTACAGGGAACTGTCTGATTGGCTTAATGAACTCTGTAACTCCCAGTAACCTGATTTCGTTTGCTCTCTTTATGGGGATTCCGATAGGCGTCGCTGCTACCCCAGCGGCTCATAATCCTGTACATACACGTTCCATCGTGCTTACTCTTAATCTCAGATTTTGCCAGTTGCCGATTCTCAGTTATATTCACACAAAAAATGGGTTAGTTCGTACTGAAATATATGTATATTGATATGTACATAGTCATTAGAAATTGGGTTCGATTTTGTGGCTAGCTGTTTACTGCAGCTTGAAATCTGTTGTGACGTTTAGTGACCAATGGCACTTATGCAATGCTGGAATGAACACCAGAAAATATATTAATTGCGTGGATTTATGGATTGTTTGAGAGTGCCAAGAAGGCAAGATATAACTTTTACGGCACCTCATTTGTACCCTCAACGTCGTTTTTTGGATTAGAGTTATCACTGTTATGATAATATGTAGCATCTAAACAAAATAATGCTTCTTAGCTAATACTTAAATTTACTTATCTTCTTCTCCTCTAGAAACAAAGCATGGTAAATAACCCTGGGCTTCTTATCAAAAAATGCAATGAGGTGCAAGTGTTGACTTTCTGAACGGGTGAGGCCCACTATCCAGAATATTCAAAGTAAAATCCTTGATTTATCATGGGGTGAGTAGAAAGGATTCCACATCTTTAAACCACAGAATAGTGATATTCAGACTTTCATGTTATTTAGGTACCGCTCTGTTTCGATGAAACTTTCGTACAGTGTGGTGGGAGGAATTAGTTCATGCGACAGGGTGTATGAAGAGGAAAGTCTTTATAACTTTGGTTTTACTGGAGCCTTCCCGGTTTTAAATAGTTCACCGCAGTACAGCGCGTAATATACTTAATGCAGAAGAGCTGCTGTTTCCTACTGTGAAAATGTGGAAACAGACTTTTTGTAATCCAACTGAGGTGATCACGAAGATATCCAGAATTAGACCTAAGCAAAAAGCATATGTAAAATTTAGACTACAGCAAACTTAAGCAAAATAAGTCTGGAAAAATTCGAATTCCAGAAAGAAATTTATTAAACTGTGCATTGTGTCAGATGTTTTTTTAGAATGGCGGAAACGTATGATGCATTGATGAGTGAAAACAGGATTCTTTGCAAAGCTGTGCGCGATCTGGAGCGTACTGCCGAAGAGAAACGGTATATCTTCGATATTTCAAGCGTCGTATTTTCGTTAATAGTTTCTGCTCAGCTTTTAGAACGTGATTATGTCTTGTTTGCTAAAACTGTCACTGTTGCGGCCCAAGTAACAAATCGAATTAATTAACACTGTTCAAAACACAACTTTAGTCAAGTGGCGCGGCACTAGTGAAGTGAAGTCAAGTTTACTACTCTAACGGTATTTAACAGTACTTATGTACTTTTCAGCAGTCTCAGTCAGATAATGCCCATCATACATACGTATTGAAGGCAATGCCGCACATTGCAGAAAAAGGAGATAAAATCTAGTAGGAATTTTTCCCTAACCGTTGAACTGGTGAATATCCTCAGCACATGAATAATCAGATGGCTTTCGCTGCGTAATCCATGGCTATGTGCTGTTGAACCATGCCGGTATCAGTCCTTCAAATGCGCATTATTTGCAGATTATTAGTTTTCATAGGCTCAGTTTCCTTATGGGGTCGACAGCCCTGACCAGGAATTTTAGATGAGGACAGTGTATCAAAATAAGCGGCAGAAAATTTCTTCATGAAGAATCTTATTATCGGAAGCATTGAAAGCATTGTTCAGTGCGTCTGTCTCTGTGACCCGAAAGCAAAAGCGATCTTTGAAACAGGTTCACTGACAAATGCGGATGCAGCTATTGGTCATTTTGCATAACTTGGCGGAAGATAAAAATTAATATTAAATTTAATGAATGTTTGAACTAAGTTTAGTGTTTTATTAATAAGTGTAACGGTTTACTTTTGTTTTAGAAGGCGTAAAGAAAAGTTTCTTGTTGAAGTAGAAGAAGCGGTCAAAGATTGCACGGTGTACTTTGAGGATATGAGCTGGGCAACTTCTTATAAGGAATTATGGCATCATTACAATGATCTTAAGGCGAAGATTGCTGAAGAAACTGCGAACCTGGATGAAAAGGCGAAGTACTTGTCGGACTTGCAGAGCGAAGTTAGAAGTGAGCAATTTCTGCATTCATCTTTCTGTTTGTTTGAGCGCTGTTATTCGTTTAGTGTAATGAAGAGTTAATGCATTAATGAAAAATAATCAACTCATTCTGAGAGTAACTGGTTTTTGAAAATGTTTAAGATATTTTTAAGAATATTGATGCTCATCGTCATGAGTATTACATTCTGCACAGTCGTAAATGTTGTCGCTCTGTGTTTGATACTAGCAGTCTCAA